AAAAAAAAAAAAAGAAAGAAAAAGAAAAGAAAAGAAAAGAAAAAGACCTCGCTGAAATCGGGCAAGTCAAAAAAGACAAAGAATGGGGAGCAATGTACGGAGTATCGCCATCGGAGCCGACGCTTTATCAAATCAGGTGCCCCTTCCAACAATCGAAATGATTGAAGGATTGCCTCCAAATCAATGTGAATATTGCCAGTGTCATGTGTTCGCATTTCTGCCACAAAGAGTCGTTGGTGCTCGAGAGGGCAGATCCTCGACATCCGTTGGCAACTTCACCTTTGCCAAAGAGCTGAACATATACTGTACCTCTACCGAAGGTTGGTTTCCCAGTGCAGTAGTACCTAGTGGTACGGAGTCATGTTCTGGGAGACTTGCGACTCTATCACCAGGATGACTTACGTCAGTTGCATGAGGGGAGCCTGAGTGCGATCGGGAAGGGCGCCAGGGTTGGTTCACCTCTACGCGAAAGCGGGAGCTCTTGTGGGGTAGGCATGGACGGTGTGTGCCGGGAGTGCCGTATCGTCAGGGACTTCAGGTGTACGGTAGACGTAGGGGGATTTATCTTGGGAAATTACTTTCGTCCTTGCTGATTTGATTCCCAGTGTCCCTGTCCGGCCGCAGCAAACCCAATGCGCGTCATGTCAAGCCAATGAAGACTCGTGAGGATCTTTTGCGGCTGAGATTGGCCACATTCTCACAATGCCCGAGATCGCCGACCAAGACGGACAAGTCGGCATGGCGCCTTGCCTTTCTGACCATCTAGGATACTGACCACGCGGGAACTCGAAAAGGCCTTCCTACACAGTGGAGATTCCTCTCCGAGTAGATCCCTATCGTTGCACGGGGTTTGCCATCGAGCCAGAACAATGTGACCAAGGGCTCGGTCGCGAGGAAACCTGTGGCAAATCTCCAGCGAGACAGCGTTTCATGACGGGGGGCTCATTCTCCGTGGCTTGGACGGTGTCTGTCGTCTCCGTCTGCGATTGGCCCGCAGCTCCTCGCAACGCACCTCTCCTCGCAGCCAACTCTTCCGGCATCCAATCGTTTCAGTTTCCACTTGTGATAAACTCTGTTCCAAGAGAAATCTAGGCTACTATCGGACGTGCAGGTGACAATCGCCTGGCAGTGCCGCCACTGGGCGGGACAGGCTTCAATGCCACGGTCGGAGGCGTGTCCGGGCGAGCTGGTGACCGCATGGCTGGAAAAGTTCAAGGGACAGGGAGCGTCGGGCAAAAGTGTCAGGCACAGGACTGAATGTGTCCAATCCACGTGGTCTGGCACCCTCGCTGAAAGAGGCTTGAAACGGTAAAGGGACGTATTGTCGACAGCCTAGGACGGAAATCAGTGGTGGGAACCCGAAAGGGCTCCATCCGCTGGCCACAACCTAGATACCAAAGCGACCTACTTGGACAATCAATCTGTGTACGGGGAAAAGCCACAGGGCCCACCGGGGCTGCGAGAGTACTCGTAGGTCATGTTCATCCAAGGGACAATGCTGACGCGGGGAAACGCCGCTGGGGTCCTTGACCGGAGACCTTGCCCTCCTCTGGCGACATGAGGTTGAGACTTGGACGCTGCGTGGAGGTCGACTATTTTATCAACCGGGAAACAATATCTCACTTGGACCCCATGTGATTCTCGGTCAGGTGTGCCAAGAAAGCAATATCTGCTGGAGACCAGTAGGGGGTGGTGCATTGCTACATAAAGGCGGGGAAATTTCTCCCCCAAAGGCGATTTTAATGGATGTAGGGGGCAGGTATGTAGAGACGTCTCCAGGCACGTCTCCAGCGTACGACTTGGGTCTGAACTCCGGGCCAGTGAGAGGGGCGTGACCGTACCGTGGGAGGCCTCAACCTGATCCACAAATCAGGAGCGAAGGGAAAATGAAGACTGGAGAGGGAAACGTTCCTACTTTTTCCCTGTCGTTTGAAGGGACAGTTGAGGACAGCTTCTCACAAGAACGATTGTGACGATCGGCCAGAAGGTAAAGGAGAGGAATGCTGGCCTAAAGTCATCACCCGGAATGTCTCAGATGAGGGAAGACCTCTTGATATCCAAGCCTATCCTACCGACTCCATGACGGTCGCCGCACTCGCCCAAGAAAAGGAGTACCTCGTGGTTGCCTACAGTAGACCTGCTCAAAGTTGCCCAGATCCTCCCAGGCCAACGAAGCAAGGGTTTTCGAAAGGGGCAACTCCGTAGGCAGGAACGTGACGGCCGAGAGCCGCTTGCGTTGAGCGGCGGGGGTCGAGAGGCGAGGCGGGTTGTGGGGTCCGGAATGTGACGACGATGGCAACTCGTCGAAAGCGAATCACAGCCACGCTAACGACGGCCACCACCCCCGTCGTCTGCCCCAATCGCCCAGGTACGAGGTCACTCTTTCGTTATCGGGATGGTGGCTGTTATGGACTCTCCGAGAGCTGGACTATTCTCCCCGAGAAACAATAAACGATATCATAGAAGGACGGGTCGAGGGGCTGGTCATGGTTGTTACCCTTGGGGTGATCCCACGTAGCTAACCACCTACCCCCTACCCCGCGTGCCCGCTCAAGTGCCTTCTTTCCCTCCCTCCCCCCCCCTCCCCCCCACTCCCCCCTCCCACCCTTAGCCCTCTTTCGACGGGCTCGACACTGGTGGACTGGGTCCCTGCCGGGCCTTCCCCCACCCCAGGCGTGCCTAGCGGCATCTGCACAGCTCGCCCACGGTTATCTGCGTTTCCTATCTTCAACCTCTTCTAACACTGATGTAATGGAGTGCATACCTCGAGACAACAGATAGATCTCGGGAAAATCAAAAAATGAAATTAAAATCCCTTCCTTCTTCTTGGTCAGCAGTCTACGAGCCTTTCTTTCACCCAACTCGGGACTCTGCCTTCCTAAACGGGTTTCACGAACGTCGTGTGTCAGTGCTCTCTTGTAACAGTATTTTTCAAGGCGAGAGTCTCGAGAGCCGGAAAGCTCTGTCTCACAACGCTTTCGCTCGCTCTGGGGATTTTGCCTGCCAAAGGGCCGATGGACCAATATTATTACGTTCCATGCCCACCCATCCGGCAAATACGAGGGCTCCTGGCGGGGCCGGAATGCAACTATTGATTCACTCTTCCACAAATCGGATCCCGTGAACCGACCTGAAGGCCTGTACCTAGAGAGCGTGCCCCCCCGAGTCGATGAAAAGGCCCTCGACTTGGTGGGGCGACGGGTTCATTGGTCCGTTTGAGGGATACACAGAAATGGCGAGACCCGTGAAAGACCAACGGCGCGCACTGGCCTTCATCATGATATACATTACAGGCAAGCAGCCATACCGTTTGTCATTGGCGTTGCAGTATCACAGTACCGGGGGGGGGG